AAGGTCTAGGGGAGCATTCCCTGGAAACCACAGTGGGCCGCTCCACAGTCACTGCAAGAGATGGTTGCCAACAATGAACTTCTGGGGGAGAGAGAGAGGAAGATAGGGAGAGAGAGGGAAGAAGAGTGACAGAAAAGGATAAGAAAGAGGGAGAGAATATTTTTATGTAGTTTGGTGGTGATGAAAGATGTGTAAATGCCCTTTAAACTTGCACACACAAACACACATACACCCCTGCATCCCATGAAGTCACACCTGAGAGAATGCAGAGGCAGGAGATCAACATGCTTGAGACCTAAGCAAGCCCTAGTCTATACCTAAGCTTTGGCTCGCCTCTTCCTTCTCTGTGACTAGTCTAAGACCTTCTTACGCTTTGTCTGCTTGGACCTTGACATTTTGTGCCTCTGGCTTCCTCACTTAACACTCCACCTCCTGCTAGGGTCTCATCTCCCCCACGATTAACTCAGCAAATCTGATCCAACCTGCACTACCAGACCCAGGGCTGACTTCAGAACCCTCACAAAGACCCTTCGTCTGTAGCCCAAGGTGACGTCCCCCATGGGTCCTCTGTTGTGATCACTGATGGCAAATCCAGGACACCCCAATACCATCCATGGCAGTCACCCATGCCTCCAATCTCCATTCTTGTCATCTCTGCAATAACTGAATCTTTAAAGCATGCATTGATTGCCTGCCTACCTACTTAAGTACAGTCAGTGCTTAGTAGGAAAGAGGCTATTTTTTAAAGTTTATTAAAAATGTGGCCAGGGTGGGTGGAAACCAGCAAAGGATAGCACAGAGCTCTGGGGCTAGTAGGAGGATCCCTTACCACCCATGGGTGTGAAGAGCCTGCGGAAGGACCAGCACCTAGAACCCTGAGGAGGTATCAGTGTCCTTGAGTAGAGAGAGAGCATCAGCCCACAGTGGGCTGGACAGCAAAAGTCCAACAGAAACACATTCCAGTCCTACTTTTTTTCCCTTTCATGTCCTGTCTGCACTTCCCGTTAGCCAAACCCCGGTGTAAACCACAGAACAAGGGGTGATACCATAGATAGCGTCCATACAGACCAGTTTTCTGGGAAAATAGAGTAGGTAAAGTGGGGAGAGTGGATTTGGTGCAGAGAAACAAAAGATATCAGCACAGCTACCATGTGCCAGGTTGGCGATATGTGCTCAAACACAGAGATGGTGTCAGTCAACTCCTGTCTTTCGAGGAGCTCACGGCCTCATGGGGAACAATCATGTCACCCGCGTTGCTGTGGGCATGCAGGAAAGTCCATCTGGTAGACTGGAGGTTGGACGTTGGCATTAATGAATGGGGGTAAGGCTGGAGCCCAGTGGTATTAGAAACTGAACAGAAGCAGAAGTTTATTAAACAAATGGAGGGCCAGAAGCTTGGTTTTCTTAACATAGAAAATGCACTGAGCAAACGCCCCGGAAATGGTCCCTGCGATGTTTTATCAATCAAGTCACAAACCAGGGGTCTTAGTCCCAGAGTGCTGAAATATGAGGAAAAAGTAAAATCCGTGCCACCAAAGCTAACTTTAAATGAATGTTAGTCATTTGATTATGTTTATTGACCCTCGCAAGGAAATCCTATGCCCCATGCTGGAAGCCAACCATTTCCAGAAATACTTCTCAGCATTCTTCTTTTTCTCGCCTCTCAGGACTCACATACTCCATAAGCTCCCATACCTGTCCTAAACAAAAACACAAATGTATAGACAAGGAAAATCAATCTTATCTGTGCAAATAGGATGCTTTTCCTTTCAAATGGCTCCAACCAACCCTTCCTCCTCCAAATAAACGGGAATTAATTTTGCTCATGTGACTAATACATCCGGGCCCTTCTGGATCTAAGGGGTTAGATTCTATCCTCCTGACCTTTGCTTTGAGTTGGTTCTATCCCCAGATGGCCTCAACCTGGGATTGGCAAGATGGAGCCACAGTTACAGGCCTCAGACTCTCAGACTCAGGTCCAGAAGAAAGATCCTCCTTCAGACCCTTCAGAGATCTGGGATCTCTCTATTCCTTCTGACTTATGCCTCTCCTGTTTATCTCTGAATCACTGGAGGCAAGCAGGTATATGCCACCTCCCAAGTTTGGTTTCAGCCCTACCCTGAACCACAAGAAATGGGAACTGGGAATGAGATACCTGCCAAAAAAAAAAAAAAAAGAAAGAAAAGAGAAGAAGAAGAAAAAAGGACATATTTACATATTTTTCTGAAGAAATGAGAGGCACACAACCAATTCTATCACAATAGTTAGTCTCTACTGTCTGTTATTTTCTATTTTCTCTTCACTTCATTAACTATTCCTTAATGGAAGATTTGTCTTGGAAAATCAGAACATTCCTGCTTTGGGTGTGGGGTGGGGTGGGGGAAAGGGCAGAGGCGAACATATAAGATTGCTTTGATTGCATCACACACATTATTTAATTTCATTAGTATAGTCATGCACTGAGATAGCAACATTTCTCCTGTTATATGAAGGATGGAACTAACTTCTAGAGAGCAAAGCAAGAAACCTAATGTCTATAGGGTTACAGATGCTCATGAAGGAGAATGAGCTTTTCCTTATCTCTCTGCCTTTATATTACTCTATCTTTACCCATCTTGGCTTAAAATAAGCTAAGATCCTAACTTTTTCCTCTTGCTTTTTTTTCTTTTTTCTTTTTCTTTTTCTTTCTTTTTTTTTTTATTGAGTCGGAGTCTCCCTCTGTCGCCCAGGCTGGAGTGCAGTGGCACACTCACGGCCTCAACCTGCTGGACTCAGGCGATCCTGCTGCCTCGGCTTTCCAAATAGCTGGAACTGCAGATGCACGCCACCATGCCTGGCTAGTTCTTGTGATTTATTGTAGAGACGAGGTCTCATCAAGTTGCTCAGGCTGGTCTCGAACCCGTGGGCTCAGGCAATCCTCTGGCCTCGGCCTTCCAAAATTCTGGGATTACAGACATCAGCCAACACATTCAGCTTCCTCCTCTTTAAGTATAACAATGATTAGTTGACTTCATTATATATTTATGCATATTTATTTTAAAAATCAAGACATAGCAACAAATAAGAAAATAAAATAATCTAAAACCACACCCTACAAAAATGCTAATAATTAATGTTAGATACAATTCAAGATGTCTGTCTAAATATAGCTATGAGAATAAACATTGTACAACGATCTCATCATCTGCATGCTTTTAAATGTTTCTATTAAAGACTATTTTCATTTAAAATAATTACTTCCAGTCGGGCGCGGTGGCTCAGCCAGTAATCCTGCACCTTGGGAGCCCGAAGTGAGTGGATTGCCTGAGCCTGCAGGTTCGAGACCCACCCGGGCAACTTGGTGAGACCTCTCTCTACAATAAATCAAAAAATTAGCCGGGCGTGGTGGCGCTTGCCTGTAGTTCCAGCTACTTGAAAAGTTGAGGTGGAAGGATCGCCGGAGCCCAGCAGGTCCAGGCTACAGTGGCCGGGATTAGCCACTGTACTCCAGTCTGGGCGACAGAGTGAGACTCCAACTCTAAAAAATAAATAAATAAATAAATAAATAAATAAATAAATAAATAAATAAATAAAAATTAAAAAATAAAATAATTACTTCCTAAGTCCTTTTTGATTTAGCAGAAGAGAAGGAAATTACACCAACACCAGAGGTATTTCTGAACTTCACTCAAATATTTCTTTACTATTTTGTTAGTTCTCTTTACCATGTCTTTTTGGTTGATAGGATCTCAAAGATTGTTTTTGCTAAGAAGGACACACTTTTGAGAATATCTTCCTGTTGCTTCGCATTTGATGTACTATTTGACTCCTTTTGATTTTCTTTTAAAATTGCACAGGCTTAGCTCTACTACTTTCTGGCATCATTGGTGTTATAGAGAACTGAGGTAAATCTGATTTTCCTCTTTACAAGCAATTTTCTCTTTATGCCTGAATGTCTAGCAAGACGACTGCATGTAAGCTATTATTTGAGGGGACATACTGTGCTATGTTGTTCTGAATATTCAGTTCTTCCCTTACTTCAACTACTCTATTTCGAATACAAAAATTATCCTATAATTTTTTGGCTTTGTTCACCCTATCTATTGGCAAATCTCTAAAACGTCTCCCTTTTTAATGATCATCACTATGATATCACAAAGCTTTCATTTGTAACTCTTTTCAATTCTCTGATATATCTTATATGTTTCTTTTTGTTCCTAATTTATATATGAATTCTATTATTTTGTTGCCTATCTTTTGTGTGTGTGTGTAGGAGTCTCACTCTGTCACCCAGGCTGAAGCACAATGGTATGCTCATGGCCACCGTAGCCTCAACCTGCTGGGCTCAGGTGATCCTTCTGCCTGAGCCTCCCAAGTGGCTGGAACCACAGGTGCGCACCATCACACTCAGCTAATTTTTAAATTATTATTATTTATTGTAGGGAAAAGGTCTCACCAAGTTCCCCAGGCTGGTCTCAAACTCCTGGACTCAGGCAATCCTCTCGCCACTGCCTCCCAAAGTGCTGGGATTACAGACATGAGCCATCACACCCAGCTTACCTTCTTTATTACATTATTCTCTTATGCAGCCATATTTGACTTCTTAATTATTGAATCCATATTTTATATGGAATATATAATATGTGCATATATACATATAGGATGATATTTATGACAACCTATGTGTCTGTGATGCAGATATTTATTTAGAGACATTTCCTTTGTGTGTGCATTTATATAAGAGCATGAGTACAAGAGTGCACAAGGCATGCACCACTGCTGAGATCCACAAATCTGCTCTTTTGGGGTCTGACATTATATCTAGTTTCTTGCTTATTTGATACTGGTGGATTTTTTGCTGATGCTATTGTTGATGCTGTTTATTTTGTTAAGAAGGAAGATTGTGTGACCCAGATTTACTTTGCCATTTTACTTGCTAGTTTACAGAGCTCAATTTAATGCTCACTTGCAGCAATGGCCTTAGTTCTGGCTTGACGAAAGTATGCTCCTTCTTCATCCAGGTGACATATGTTGTCATCCTCATCGTCACCGTCATTATCAAATCGTACATGTGCTTTAACTCAAACTTGCCTCAAATAACTCTTGGATGTAGGAGCATGGAGCTAAAGAAGGCAAGAAGATGAACAGATATTTAGTTAGCTTCCTGTAACGTGCAGTTGAAGAAAAATGGACCCAGGGAAATTAACTCATAGTCACATTCACACAGCTGATTAATTTCTGAGTTCTAGATTATGAATTAAGCCAACCTGGTATCGCAGGATCTAGCTAGACTTGGATTTGAATTCCAGCTCTGATATTTACAAGCTGTGAAAACTCGAGTATGTTATTTTACCTCTATTCATCTCACTGTTTTGTCCTGCCTGTGAAACCTTCAGAGGGTTTTTGACAAAGATCTGAAGGGATAATGTATATAAAGTGTTCAGTCCTGTGTCTCTTACATAACAAAGTCATCATAAGTGATTGCAAGCATTAAACACACTTGCCAAGCCAATTAGTAACTGTATTAGCTTGCTCTTATTGTGAAAGAAACAGCTCTAGAATACGGAGATTAAAATGACAATCATTTATCATTTTTCTCGAGTGTGTGAATCAGCTGGGAATGGACTGATCCAGGCTGGGATCGGCTAGATTGTTCTGCTAATTTGGGCTGGGCTTATATACTTGTATTTGGCCTGCTGAGGTTTGGTTGATCTTGGCTGGGCTCAACTGGGCTGTTCTGCTGTACTTGAATGGACTCTCACATGTGCATATGTTATGACCAGAGTGTGATAAGGTAGATTGCCATTATGCAGATAATTTAATTAAGAGTCCTTTATTAACATGCAGGTCAAGGGTAGATTCACACCAAGAAAGCTCTTGACGCTTAAGTGAAGTTTGCAACAAGCTTTTAAAGGCAAGTAGGCTACATAGCAGGGGTTGAGGGTACAAGGAATTAAAAACAAAAGGCACAATCTCTTGGATTTCAGTTAACAAGGCATACAATGACACGCAACTTGTGGCTAGGGAGTTTTCAATGGCCAGCAAGAATAGTTGGCATGAGCAACTCAGGGGAATGCAGCTGTGGGTTTGTGGTCATGGGAACGTTACAGCAATTACACATATACAATGAAGGGGGTCATTTTTAGGTCAGGCAGACAGCTAAGATGGGGGATTTCAGCAAAATGGAGTTACTATGTCAAGCAAGTTACTGCAAGTATTTTACAGATTTCATTAGCTATTTCACATAGCCTGCTAGAAATTGGAGGCTCGTGGCTGGGTTTAAGGATTTTTCTGCTTTGTGTGTCTCTCATTCTCTCCTGAGATCAAAGGGCTAGTCTAGCATCTTCTTCTTATGGCTATAGAAGAGGAACAAGAGAGAGAGAGAGCACACTCATGTGAAACTTTTAAGGCCTAGGACCAAATCTAAAACTCCTACCTCATGCTATTGGCCAAAGCCAGTCTCTCAGCTTAACCTAAAGTCAAAGGACAAAGGTATGAATACAGGGCAAAATAAAGAATTACTATCACTAACACAATCGGTGATAATGCCAAATGAAATCTAGAATAATGCAGAAACAGAGAAGTAAAGTTTGAGCTTCAGAGTCAAACCGACCACGATTTAAGGCCTAGTTTAACCTCTAATTATCTCCATGACTTTGGTCCAGTTATCTAATTCTTATAAAAATCATTTTCTTAATGTATAAAATTGAGATAATTACTTCCCAAGCAATAGTGTGGGATTCATACATTAATTTAGCATATTGTAAGGCATATAACAGTTATTTGATATTTGGTAGCTATTGTTGGCATTGTCTTTTCCTTTCAGTTCATAATCCTTGCCTTCAGACATCAGGATATATAAGTTATTAATTTGAAACTTTTAAAAAATGCTTCCCCTAAGTTGAACAAATTCTTATTTATTTTATCTTAAGCAAGAGAAAAAAATAATTGCTAAGGCCTATCATTCCTATTTTCCTCAAACACAAACAAGTAAATAGTGACATGAATAAAAGCATATTTAATGGAAAATTCTGTTTCATTTATCTATCAATGAGTACCAATTACACTTTGGAAGGGCAGATGAATGATGTGTTCATACAAATATTTGAATGTGGCAAAAACAGTCAGCTTTGCAGGAGAAGGCTAGGGCTGTGTAAACCCAGATATCAAGATATGCCCTGCTTATGAGAATTCATTGAAAACATGAGGTGCCTTGCACTTTCCATAATGTGGAATCCAAGACCACAGCACAGCAAGGGGTGAACAGAAAGGTGTGATGAGAGTTTGCAAAGTACCACTAATTAGGAAAGAGATCTGGCATCCTGCATCAAGGAACTGCAAGTAGTAATAACAAAGGTGTCACAAGGATTCTGTAATTATGAGTGATTTTCCCAGAACTATGCTCTCGAAGGAATCCCATAAATGATTCCTGAATGTCTTCCATATGCCTACCATTGGCAATATGTCAGACAGAACCCCTGCTCTCAAGTAACACATAGTCTAGTGGTGGTATCAACCCTGCATACAGGCTAATCAATTACTAGGATGAACTGAGATGAAGTTATAATGAGAATATTAACAAAGAACCATAGGATCACAGAAAAATAAATAAATGAGTAAATTTAAACTGGGTCCTGATTAATAAAAAATATTTGGACAGATTTGGGGGAGAAAGTAAAGTTATAATTAATCAACTCAATACGACATTTCTGGTTATTCCTGGAGAGAGGAGAGAGGGGTGATAGAACGTCAGTATCAGAAAGCTGGAGAGTTTTGGTTTTATTAGGATACTTTACTCGGGATGTATTGCAACTATTTAAGCATTGCACTGAGCAGATCTTGCCCTTATCTCTCTTGCACTTTCAGTGAGGTTGTACAATAACTGCAGGCTTGTGGACATTAAAGAGATTGAGGCCTTCTGATAATTTGAAGTTGTGAATTCAGCCCACGATGATTTTTGTTCTAAGGGAGTAATTGGTAACTAATCCAGGACAAAGAACTAGGGGTTAATTGACAATATGGTAACAGCTTCCACTGATCTTATGTTCCAATGGGTATGACACATAATAACTAAACAAAAAAGAGCAGATTGCAATAAACGCACTGAAGTAAACAAGAGCGGTGGAAGAAAGTAACTAGGAGAGGACTCCTAGTTACATTGCTGATATAAAGGGATGGAGAAAATCCAGGTGAGAGTTGTACTAGACAGAGAGAACAGTGACTCCAAGAATTCAGAGGTGAGAAAATGTTTGGCATGTTGACAAAAACAAAAATGAAAACAAGTCTGGCTAGCATACAGTGATTCAAGGGAGAGCTGGAAAGAGAAGACATTGAAAGGAGAGGTAGGAAAAAGATCAAGCAAGTTTTGCAAGTCACGGGGACAAGTAGGAGTTTTGTTCTAAGAGAAATCAGAAGACATTGGATCCTTTTAGGCATGGTTTTGAAATATCCTGTTTTAGGATTTGAGGAAGATCATTCGGCTGCTGTGCAGTGCATAGTGACAGGAATTAAATGTTTAATGGAAAATTCTGTCCATTTGTCAATGAGCACGAATTAAACATTGGAGGGACAGGCTGGCAGATCTCTTGTCAGTACAGTGCCACCACCATGTCCCTCTAAGGCTGGCAACTACATTTCTCAGATTAACCGTCCACATTTGGCTCTGGGTTTGGTTAGATTTTGGTCACACATTTGGTTAGATGTGTGAGGTCTGGAATGTTGAAGTAAATGGGAAGCTTTACTCTGATGGCAGCAGGTGAACATGCAGGTAAGTACCACAACAGCTCCCAACAAACTCCTGAGCGTGACTTCCTTCAGGGTTGCAGACTCCTAGACCTCTCTTCTAGTACTAGTCCTCTCCTGAGAACTCTAGCAACTTTCAGGCGTGTTTTGGAAACCCACTACAGATTTTTTTAAAAACAGTAACAACAAAAACTGAAGCTTCACAAGATTAAATAAGTGGACCCCCCAATGTGATTTAATAGACACAGTCGGAAAGTAGGGACTGGGGCTAGAACTCTGGTCTAGCTCATTCCCAGTCCTACATTCTTTCCACTATGCCAGAGTAACTGCAGTGCCATTATTTTAATATAACCCATACCCATGTTAAAATAATCGTCTGGAAAATACACCAAACTCACAGGCCAAAGTCCTATGATGAAGGCATATCATTCACTGATAGATTATCTGGGGAAACAAAGAATTGAGGTGGAATTCATGATATAAACTATAAGTGACATCCCAAGCCACTGAGTTTTGTCAAATAACATTTTATCCACTAGACAGCTTGACATCAACTAGCTAATGCCAGTGACATGGGCGACTTCATAGGAAAGAAGGAGAAATGAGTGGGTGGTATAAATAACATGCATGAATTACCGGGCACTCAACAGCTCATGAAGAACAAGCCTTTGTTATATATGGTGTCCGTCATCTGAAACCACAGGGCAGTCGTAAATGCCATAAATTGACAAATGACTGCAAAATATCAAAGCCAGGGCTCCTAGAAGTCAAACTCCCGAGCTTCAGCAGGTGGAGGGGTCAACCTGCCGAGTGACAGGGGGCAGCTCAGTGTCCACGGCATGAACTCATCACACTCCCTTCCTCACTCATGCTGCTCCAGCATCCACCACGTGACTGCTGATTCACAGTGTTCACCCTTCATGCGTGTTTTGTTTATGCCTCCCCCTTGCCTGGGATACTCTGTCCTTGTCACTGTGACCAGAGACTTCTCGGACTTTAAGATTCAGTCCAAGCATCATTGCTCCCAAGAAGCTTTTCCTGCCCTACACTTTCATCTGCACAGCCCTAATTTCCTGTGCATGTTTTCTGATTGTGCTTGTAATACGCTAATAAAATATGACTACAGATTGTCATTATGTTTTTGTCTCCTCTGTTAGACTCTGAGCTCCCTGAGGTCAAAGCACTTATCTTTTTTTTCTTTTCAAATCCCTAATGCCTAGCACACAGACTGCATATTAATGACTCTCCAGTGGTTAGCATCCATTTGAATCAGAGGGTTTCCTGGGCCCCACTCCCAAGTTGCTGACAGATTTACAGCAGGGCCTGAGAATTTGTATTTCTAATAAGTTCCAGGTGATGCTGGTATG